GGCTCACCCTTTGCAGCTATAACAGCTTCGACTCTTCTGGGAAGGCTGTCTACAAGGTTTAGGAGTGTGTTTATAGGAATTTCTGACCATTCTTCCAGGAGAGCATTTGGACGAGAAGGCCTGGCTCGCAGTCTCCGCTCCAAATCATCCCAAAGGTGTTCTAACGGGTTGAGGTCAGGGCTCTGTGCAGGCCAGTCAAGTTCCTGCACACCAGACTCGCTCATCCATGTCCTTATGGACCTTGCTTGTGCACTGGTGCGCAGTCATGTTGGATCAGGAAGGGGCCATCCCTAAACTGATCCCACAAAGATGGGAGCATGAAATTGTCCAAAATGGCTTCAAAGGCATGAATTTCTGTACGCCCTGTTCTGGAGCTAATCTAAACGCCAAACAATGTTTGGAGATCTGTAGCTATTGACTCTGCAGACAGCTGGCAACTTCTGCACACTGTGCGCCTCAGCATGCGTTGCCGCCGCTCTGTGATTTTATGTGACCACTTCTTTGGCTGAGTTGCTGTTGTTTCCAATTACTTCCACTAACAGTTGATCGTGGAATATTTAGTAGCGAGGAAATTTCACGAATGGACTTATTGCACAGGTGGCATCCTATCATGGTACCATGCTTCAAGTTCAAGTTCAAGTTCATTTATTTGTCTCCCTAGGGAGAAATTTGAATTGGAGACAAAGGGTGCTGCTGCAGATACATACAGAAAAAACGCAATATATAGACAATATAAACAGCTTGAATTCACTGAGCTCCTGAGAGTGACCCATTCTTTTGCTAATGTTTGTAAAAGCAGTCTGCATGAATAGGTCCTTGATTTTATAAAGTTGTGGCTATGGAAGTGTTTGGAACACCTGAATTCAGCGATTTGGAGGGGTGTCCCAATACTTTTGGCAATTTAGTGTTCATTGAGGGACTTGAGGGTCTGAAAACTCTAAGAATGAACTGCCAGCAATATACTATGCTGTTATTCCACTTATACCAGTTTGCTAAACTGTAACGCTCTTCTTCCTTAATTTCACCTTCATTGGGGTTGGAGGAGGGGTCTCACACGGGGGGCATGACAGGGGGGTGAGGATTCTCTGAAAATTGCGAATTTTGCATGGTCACCTGTTATCAATTGGGGCACTCGGTATATTTGCCAGTTGGAGGGGGGGGAGGGGCCTTGATAAATTTTGCTTAAAATATATTTTTATTTGTCTTAACATCTAATTTAATATATGGGTCACTGATCAGTCCAGGGGGGACCGGTTGCCGATTTGAGCCCCTACTTTGCCAGAACAGTCACGTGTCCCTGGGTCTTTGAGCAAGGCTCTTAACCCCCAGGTCCAGGGGAGTCACACCATAGTTGACCCTGCGCTGTGACCCCTGAGCTATGAAGAGAATAAATGGGATATGCGAAGAGACAAATTCCTATGTGCCTGTACTTGTACTTGTGCAATGGCCAATAAAGGATTATACTTTTAAGCTGCCATGCCCTCTCTCAGCCGTGTCTGATTTTCTCGGCAAGGTTCTTTATTCTGGAGCACCTGGCACGCTTGGCAGAGTTCGAGTGTTTTTCCTGAGTGTCATCTGTCTGCCATAGTACCTGTTTTTGCCTTGCCCACTGATTGCCGACACCAATCGTCTGACCTTCGCCTATCCCCATGACTTTCGCCTCAGCCATTTCTATTTCCTGGAACATCCAAGAAAGGTCCAGTTTATTTGCATTGGACCCTTGCCAGAGTACTTCTTTCTGTCTTGCGTCACAATACTACTCAAGGTACGAGGTTTGTTTTTTTTGTTTTTTTTTTGGAAAATGGAAAATCCTGGCCTGGATGTGTTTTAGAACTTATTAAATGTTATAACTTTTTTTAGAACTTAGGACATTTTCACCCTCCCATATCCATAGTCCCTACGTGCTTCAAAATGTCCACCATTGTCTTTGTGTCAAAATCACCACAGCAACACTCCTGAATGACTAGGGCACAGCTGCCCTGACCCCCACCATAAGAAATGCTGTGAGAGAATGTTCAGGAACATCATCTGCTCTGCACTGCCTGTCACATTAGACCCTCTCCAATTAGCATATTGTTCACCGAGGTCCACCGAGGACTGAAATGCCGTGACACTCCACAGTGCCCTCTCCCACCAGGACAACAGGGACACAAATGTGAGAATGCGGTTCCTGGATTAACGCTAAGCATTCAGTACCAAAGATCCCTCCAGGCAGGACGGGAAGCTCCGAGGTCTGGGCCTGAACAGCCCTCTGTCAGCTAGACCTTGAACTTCCTGTCAGAACAACGCTAGGTGGTCTGACTGGCTGGCGCCACTTCATCCTCTCCAGAGGTACTGAGTCCCCTCCTGTGCTCACTGCACATCCAAGACTGCATGGCCGCTGACAGCTCCAACATCATGGTCAAGTTCACTGACAACAGAACAGTGGAGAACAAATCTGATGGACGGGCCCAAGATTTTCATGTGGGGGAAGGTGGCGATGCACGTAGAGCTGTGAGATGTGAACTAAAAACAAAGCCACGATAATTTAATACAGGGATTCA